TGCTCCACCTCTCAAGCCTGTCCAGGTTATATAATGGGTTATATAATCCCAAAATGGATCTGGAGGTGTTTTCTGTAGGAGGATGTACCTCAGCTTCCAGTGTGGGAATCTCTGCCCAGGCTGATCCAAACCCCATCCAGCCTGGCCTGGAACACTCTCAGGGATGGAGCAGCCATAGCTGCTCTGGGCAACCTGTGCCCAGAATCAGTGTCCCTGCCCATGGCAGGGGGTGGAACTGGGTTTCTTGAAGGTCTCTTCCAGCCTAAACCATTCCAGGGTTCTGTGATTGTCTTTTCCCCATAAGGTACACGTGGAAATCTGCTTTGAGGTCTCCTTGGGCTTCCCAAGGCACCATCCTGCATCCTCTCCATGTTCCCTTGCCGCAACGTTCTCCTCACAGCTGTGTCCCCGCTGCAGAGTCCGTGGGGGTTTGTTTTGGGGCTGGAGAGCCAGAGGGAAGCCGAAGGGATCACTTTTCCCCTCTGTGCTCCCGGAGCTAAATATACCAAGAAGCAGCTGCTGGTGCTGGAGCTGGAGCGGCGCCGGTGACATTGCCGTGTCCCTGCTGGGTCACGCGTCCTGCGGCCCCTCCGTGGCTTGGCATGGCTGGAGGCCTGGGCTGCAGCAGCTGCTCTGCCCAAACTGCCTTTTCCCAAAGATTTCCATGCTTCCTGCGAGGCAGGAAGGGCTGTGGCAGCTTCTAAGTCAGGGAAAGAAAAAAGTCTGAGAAGTAGCAGCATTGGCAGGACAACAGCAAGAGATGCCCCAGGCTGGAGCTGGTGGGATCAGAGGCCTCAGCAGCACCTGCAGTGGATTTACAGGAGCCTGGAATGTGAAGGCTGTCCCAGGTCTTTTCCATTCCTTGTCTGATGTGAAAACACAGAGCTAGAGATGACTTATATAGGGCCATAACCTGCTGCACACGGAAGGGCCTGGGGATAAGCTGCCTGCAGGGGGTGGTGCCCTGGGTGAGCTGTGAGGGATGGGAAGGGGAGTTAGCCTTTAATTTGGTGCCAGATCTTAGGCACTGGAATGTGACTGATCCTCCTGCTGCTGGTGGATTTCCAGACTGGTTTGGGTTGGAAGGACCTTAAAGCTCATCACATCCCACCCTGCCCTGGGCAGGGACACCTCCCACCAGCCCAGGCTGCTCCAAGCCCCATCCAACCTGGCCTGGAACACTCCCAGGGATGGAGCAGCCACAGCTGCTCTGGGCAACCTGTGCCAGTGCCTCAGCACCTCACAGGGAGCAATTCCTGCCCAATCTCCACCTGTCCCTGCCCTCTGGCAGTGGGAAGCCATTTCCTGTGTCCTGTCCCTCCAGCCCTTGTCCCAAGTCCCTCTCAGCTCTCCTGGAGAGCCTTATAATCCTTCTCTCCTGCTATTTTCTCTCACTTGGCACACAGGTCCCCTTGGATGGGGCTTGGAGCAGCCTGGGCTGGTGGGAGTTGTCCCTGCCGAGGGCAGGGATCGCACTGGATGAACTTTAAGGTCCCTCCCAACCCAAACCCTGTGTACTTCCATGAACTAGGGAGGTGATGTGCTTTGATCAGAGATTGAGGGACCACAAATGCTGCATCTGAGATTTGTTAGGACTTTCCCAATGAGATTATTATTATTCAGATGTTTTTCAGTGCTCCTCATCTTTCTTAAATGAGGAAACAAGTCCTAATCTGCTGTTTATCCTTCTCCTAGTTCCTGAGGGAGGACCTGAATTACCATGACCCAGCAGTCAAGCACAGCACTTTCCATGGAGAAGACAAGCTCATCAGTGTGGAAGATCTCTGGAAGTCCTGGAAGACATCTGAAGGTAAAAGCAAGCCAAACACACAAAGAAACCCTTTCCCAGCAGTGCCAGTTTGGATCTCAGATACCCTTGGCAGAGTCTGTGCAGCTCCCAGGAGGAATATGCTGCTGCTCCTTTTACTGCCTTGTACCCGAACTCTTCAGCCTTCCTTGTTCTGGGGTGGATTTTCAGGGTTTCATCAGTCTTGGCATCAATTGTTTTGTTTCGCTGTCCTAGAAATGTGCATGAAGTAGAGCCAAACACAGTCAAATTCCAGGTTCTCCTTCAAACACAGTTTCAGCTGGAATTTTAATGGGGTAATCACATCCTGAATATTCAATAGAGCTGTGTGGGAGTTTTCCTGCAGGTTGTGTTTTCCTTAGGAGAGATTTTCTGAACCTGAAAGGCTCCTTCACATAGTGAGGAGAGAGTAGGAGAAGGTATGGATGAGGCTTGGAGCAACCTGGGCTAGTGGAAGGTGTCCCTGCCTGTGACAGGGGGTGGAACTGGATGGGCTTTGAGGTCCTTCCAACCCAAACCAGTCTGGGATATTGTATATGATGATCCTGGAGCTGTTTCTCCACCCCATGGAAATGGACAGGGACGTGTTGACAACTCTTGTCCAAACCACTTACAAGTGGCACAGCTGCCCAGGGCAGGGAGGGATTTAACAGCTGTGTGGATGTGGTGCTTGGGGACAAGGCTTGTGGTGGCCCTGGCAGTGCTGGGGATGGTTGGACGCAGTGATCTCAGAGTCTTTTCCACCCCTAGTGATGCTGTGATTCTATGGTGCTAACGGGTCACTGTGTCTCCTGTGCTCCAGGAGCGTTTCATTTAAGAAATATTTCCCCTATTACACAGCTGTTTACAGTTGGCTGTGCCTGAAGTGTATTTAGTGTCAGCTGGGAAAGGGTAAAAATCATTATGGGCTGGAGGAGAACATCCCATGATAGTCCCCAGGAGCCTTAATTGCTGAGCTGCTTCCCATCTCTCCCTGCTGCTGGCACACACGGACCTGCCACGTCTTTGGCAGAGCTGCTGCGGCATAGTACACTTTCCAGTGCTGAATTCAGCTCCTGCTCTTGTTTTCCCATTCATCATCCTCTGGGTCTGGCCGATAAAACAGGTTACAAGTTTCTAAAGGATAGTCTGGTGTCCTGGAATCACAGAATGGTTTGGGTTGGAAGGACCTCAAAGCTCATCTCATCCCACCGCTGCCCTGGGCAGGAACACCTCTGACCAGCCCAGCCTGCTCCAAGCCCCATCCAACCTGGCCTGGAACACTCCCAGGTTCAAGGAGGCTACTCCTGGAGCTTGAAATTCAGTGATAAAACGAATTGAGCTTGTAGGGAAGGTCTGCTCTTTCCTGTGGGTGTGAAGGGCAGTCCCTCAGGGACAGGTGCTGGGACAACTGTGCCCGTGGCATCTGTTTTCAAGCTGTTGCTTTTCCTGCCTCCCATTGCTGCTGCTCCTGCTCACCTGTGTAAAACAACATCTCGTGTCTGCCCCTCTGTTACCCAGCAGTGCTGTGATGCGCTTACAGGGTGCTGGCCCTGGTGCCCTGTCCATGGCGGCGGATGAGGGCCGGGAGCTGTGGGCAGCTCCTGCAGCTGCTCTGGTGGAGTCACTGTGCCAGTGTCCATGGGATGACACCCTGCTCTGGGGCCAGCCCGGCTCGGCGCTGGGCTCATCTCCACCAGCTCCCTCAGCACTCTCAGCTCCCTCATGTCCCTCATCTCTCCAAGTGCTCTCACCTCTCTCAGCTAACTCAACTCCCTCAGCTCTCTCCCTCACTTCTCCCAGCTCTTAGCTCCCTCAGAGCCCTCATCTCTCCAAGTGCTCTCAACTCTCTCATCTCTCCAAGTGCTCTCAACTCTCTCATCTCTCCAAGTGCTCTACGCTCTCTCATCTCTCCATGTGCTCTGAGCACTCTGAGCTCTCTCAAGCGCTCTGAGCACTCTCTCATCTTTCCAAGTGCTCTGAGCTCAGCTCCCTGAGCTCTCTCGGAGGCCTTAGGCTCTTGCACTGGAGCTGGCAGGAAGATGTTTCTCATATTTGTGAGACGACTCACTGCTGACATTCCAGCCCGGGCTGTGCAGCAATGCCACCCCCAGAGCCAGAGGAAATGGGCCTTTTCCTCACTTGGCTGTGAGGGAAGGAGGAGGTCAGGCCAGAGGGTGTGAGGAGGTCACTGTCCGTGCTGGGTGATGCCCAGCACAGGGCCTGGGCTGGCTGGGGCCTGGGAGGTGCTGCAGGAGCTCAGCCTGTGCCGAGCAAGGACCAAGGGTGAGCAATTAAAGCATGACAAGTCCCCTCTGTCTTATGAAACACCTGGTGCTTGAAGTGTCCAAGGCCAGGTTGGATGGGACTTGGAGCAGCCTGGGCTGGTGGAAGGTGTCCCTGTGGTGGAATCGAATGGGTTTTAAGGTCCCTCCCTACCCTAACCATTGTGGGATTTATGATCTCCTTTGCGTTCAGAGCATTGCTTAAAGTCCAACACAGCTAAATGGCAAAGGCAGAAGTTTGGTTTCCAAAGGTTTCCAGAGGTTTCCTCATCTGTGGCTCTGGAGCTCCAAAAATAACACGCAGATGCCTGGGTGAGTAGGTTAAGGAGCAAAGTTCACCATGGGCTCTGGCACCTGCTCCACCTCCTGCAAACCCTTTCTCAAGCTGTTTACAGCCATTTCCTCACAGCATTGCTCTGTATGATCTTATTATAGCTGGAGCTCAAATAGAGTCACAGGATCATCTAATCCCAGACTGGGCTGGAAGGACCTTAAAGCCCATGCAGTGCCACCCCTGCCCTGGACAGGGACACCTCCCACCAGCCCAGGCTGCTCCAAGCCCCATCCAACCTGGCCTGGAACACTCCCAGGGATGGAGCAGCCACAGCTGCTCTGGGCAACTAGTCCATGGGTCTGGAGTGGAGGGTGAGGCTTTTGGAGTTGACTCAGTGCTTTGGGCATGTGGTGAGGGTGAACATTCTCTGCTGGGAGTTTGAAGGCAGCAAGATCTCTTGGATGACAGAACACAAAGTGGTTCTGGTTGTCACCTGCCACACTTCGGGTGTTACCTCTCCCAGCATCTCAGCCTCAGGCCCTTCTGGTGCTGTGGCCAAGGGTGGAGCATCACCTGCACTATCTAATAGCCTCATTGCATGTTTGGTTTTGGGAAGTGGAGGCACAGGGTCAAATCAACCCCCATGAGAGGTTTGCTGTCACTGGGGCAGCACCAGGCAGCCTGTCACATGGTGCTGTGAGGGCTCACGTGCAGCAGCCCGGGAGGAAGAGGCAAGCATAAATCATCCTACCAGCAGCCAGATGGAGGCTGAGGTCCTACAGGAGTGCCCAGAGCATGGAACTGACAGGGAATAGGGCTAGATGGGATCTTGGGCAGGAATTCCTCCTTGGGAGGTTACCCAGAGCTGCTGTGGCTCAGCTTTACCACATGGCCAAAGCCCTGAAACACTGAGGTCATCCCAGAAAGCCTCACCCCCTGCTCCAGACCCTTGGACTAGTTGCCCAGAGTGGTTGTGGATTCCCCATCCCTGGAGGTCTCCAAGGCCAGGTTGGATGGGGCTTGGAGCAATCTGGGCCAGTGGAAGGTGTCCCTGCCCATGGCAGGGAGTGAATTAGATGGTCTTTAAGGTCCTTCCAACCCAAACCTTGTGGGATTCCATGATTCTCTGAACCCAGGGGTCATTTCTGTCTGATAGCCCCAGGATGTGACGTCCCCCCAGCTCAAGGATGTCTCTCAGCCCTGCAGGTCCTTTTCCTTGGCTGAAGTTGATGGTTGAGGAGGGTCTGGTGCAGTCCTGCCCTGGCTGGTGGTGGCTTTGGCTGCTCAGCACCTTGTGAACCTGTTTATTCTGTGCCTCTCCACAGTGTACAACTGGACAGTTGATGAGGTGGTGCAGTGGCTCATTACGTACGTGGAGCTGCCCCAGTACGAAGAGACCTTCCGGAAGCTACAGCTGAATGGCCATGCCATGCCCAGGTTAGTGCCCATGGGTCCTCTGGGACGTGTGCCAGGGAGAAACCTGAGCCCAGGCAGCTCCTGACATCACATGCAGCTCCTTGGCATGTGCGGAGCCAAACTGATTCCTACTCTGATGCAGTTAAGAGTGAAAAGAGCGGAGTGCTGGGCTCCTCTCTCCTCCTGGGCTCCTTTTCCTCCTCTCTCCTCCTGGACACCCCTCTCTCTCTCTCTCATCCCACACCAGCAGGAGAACTTCAGGGGCAGAGAGTGCCAGAACACAGGGAATGGCTTCCCACTGCCAGAGGGCAGGGACAGGTGGAGATTGGGCAGGAATTGCTCCCTGTGAGGTGCTGAGGCACTGGCCCAGGTTGCCCAGAGCAGCTGTGGCTGCTCCATCCCTGGGAGTGTTCCAGGCCAGGTTGGATGGGGCTTGGAGCAGCCTGGGCTGGTGGGAGGTGTCCCTGCCATGGAACTGGAGGTCTCTTAAGTCCCTTCTAACCCAAACTATTCCGTGATTCTCTAAGACGAACACTGACTGTGAGCTGGACAGGACTTGTAACAGGTTTGAAAAACCTCAGTGCAGCTTTTTGGGTTCTTTTCACTGCAAAAGGGGCTTTTAAACTGACTGGGAAGGAGGGATTAACTGGGAAGAAATCCCAGTTGACTGGGAATAAAATGAGGGTTTTGAGGCATCACATGGTGCATCCACATTTCTTCTAAGTGAGAAGTATGACCTTATGGTTTGTGACCATAAGGCAGTGGAGGGTTGTTTGAAAGGTCATTATTAGTGATTGGCAGGACATAGAAATGGGGTTTGATGGGAAGTGAGTCACTCAGGCTGTCAGGATTGACGGAATAGGCCTGGCCTTGGCTTCTCCTGCTCTCTCCCCGTCCCAGAGGTGCTGCTCTTGGCTCTCCTGGGGCAGAGACAACAGCATGGAGGGATTTCCTCTGTCTGATAGCTCTCAGGTCCTGCTGCTGTCGTCTCCCTGGTGGTAATTCCAGGAGAGCCACTGACCCAGGTGGGTGTTCCCACCTCAGTGAGTCCCCTGTGTTGCAGGCTGGCGGTGAACAACGTGACCATGATGGGCAGTGTGCTGAAGATGACCGACCGCAGCCACAGGCAGAAGCTGCAGCTCAAGGCTCTGGACACGGTGCTCTTTGGGCCTCCTCTCTGTGAGTACTCACACTCCAGCTCAGACCATCCTTCAGGTTGGAAAAGACCTCCGAGGTCAACTAGTCCTTGGGGTGTTGGTCACCAGGATCTGTGTGTGCTGTGTTGGGCACCAAGGACAGGCCTGGGTGAGCCAAACTGCCCCACTCAGCCTCCCCCAGGCTGACCAGCCCAGTACAACTGCCCTGGAGCAGGGACAACTTGTCTCTGGATTTATGGGACCACCCAGAGGCATCCTGCCTGCTGCCATTCCCATTCCCACGGGCTGCTCCCAGAGGTGTGGACTCACCATCGTGCTGGCATCTCCTGTGCCCATGGGGTTAAACCTTGCTGTCCTTCCTGTGGTGTGTGTGGGGTTGATGTGCTGGAGGGCAGCCACCCTGCCTGCTCCCAGGGAAGAGCTGCTGCCATGACCTGGGGTGTCCTGGGGCTCCACCAGTGACTCGGGCTGTGGCTCACCTGCCTCTGGAGGAGGGAAGGAGCAGCAGGCTGGCTAGGAAGACACTTGGGCTGGCTGATAGCAGGGACTGGCTCCTCTGATTCCAGGCTCAGTTGGGATCTCAATCCCTCTGATGCTTATCTCAGCATGCTCCAGGTGCTCCCTCTGGCTCATGTGTGATGCCTATTGCAGGAGCTTTTGTCTCTCTGCTTCTTAGTCATGGCTTTCTCCTGGCTTTGGGTGCTTTGGTGAGGTGGTCAGGGCCTGGTGCTGCTCAGCCCTGAGCAGACAAAGGGAGGTTTTGGGGCAGGTTCTGCTGCCTGGGTGTGATTTGAGCTCTCCCTACACAGAGCTCCTCTTTTCTTTTACTTGCCTTGTGTCTCCTGTGCAGGAGGTGTAAAATGAAGGTGATGTGGTGCCAGTGACATGGTCTGGGTAGAGTTCTGACCCAGGAACTCCCCAGCTGTGCTGTGACTGTGGAAAATAGCGCTTTGAGCTTCCTCTGTTCTTTAAGCTTCTTTTAAGCAGCAGTCCCAGAATCCCAGACTGGTTTGGGTTGGAAGGACCTTAAAGCTCTTCCAGTGCTACCCCTGCCCTGGGCAGGGACACCTTCCACCAGCCCAGGCTGCTCCAAGCCCCATCCAACCTGGCCTGGAACACTCTCAGGG